TGATATATAGAGTAGTACATACATTCATCTCGCCTGCACAAGCCCTCACCTTGATTCCTTGGGTCTGTGCTTGCTAGCCACAGCGTCGTATCGCTCGAGACACTCCTCAAAGGTGGAATAGAGTGTTGCTGTGCGTGCTGCGTTAGTAGCGGCTATACCTCGGGTGTACAAAGGCAGCACCCCCACCCCCAACAACGTATTGGGTACCCATCTCAACGACCGTGCGTTTGTCCTCCCATTGGCCTGGGTTTGTGAAGGAAAAAGTATACATTATAACTGAATTATACCAAAATTTTATAAAATTCAAAGAAATCATAAGAAAGAAAGAATAACTTGACTCGGGTAAGTGGGAGTTGCTTTTGTAACAGTATGAGGGAGCAGAAGCGACTCGAGAACGTCGGATCCCGCTCAACATGTCATACCTTTATCGCTAACAGACCACGTATCGATTCCTACAAATTACAACTCGTGCACACTTTTAGTCATCTATCTATGCACAAACAGTATACATACATACACATGCCCACACATACACACACATGCACACACATACACACATACACACACATACACCATACACACATACACACACATACACCATACACACATACACACACATACACACATATACACACACATACACACACATACACAAATATACACACATATACACACACATACACACAAATACACACGCATACATACACATACACACACATACACACACATACACACACATACACACACATACACACACATACACACACATACACACACATGCACACACATACACAAATGTGCACTAACCTTTGAATTCGTATCCTCATCGCTAATCGACCCCATATCAATCCCCACGAAGCCTCCCACGCCCAGCCCTACCGCACTGGGCACCAATCGGTTGGCTGGCACATGGTACACCTCATATACTAGACTCCTGTGGGAGCGTATTAGGTTGTGATGGTAATTGGTTTTTGCTTACCGCTCTGGTAAAATCACGATCCAATATTTTCAAAACCAAGTAACAAAAGAGAGATCGCCTATCATCCCTGGAGCTTGGTTATAGACTGAAAAGCCGATAGTAATTGCTACTAATTCATCTAGCAGTGCACGTCCAGGAATGCTCTATTGATAGCGTGTACTGTGGAGTGTACTGTGGAGTGTACTGTGGAGTGTACTGTGGAGTGTACTGTGGAGTATACTGTGGAGTATACTGTGGAGTGAACTGTGGAGGGCAAATGCGTATACGGTCTATATATGAATGCAACGTATGACTTTCGAGATAACTAAAACATATCCCATGAAAGCCTAATATGGGTTGGTTCAGTATATGCGGCCGCAATTAAGACTATCTTTCAGTGTTTATATGAATCCAGCATTCAGTGATACTACCAGCACTTTATTAATGCGTGTACTTTGTAGCTGACTATACATTCACAATGATTGTACCGAACCTTAGGGCACTTAAAAATTCTCGATACTTTAATAATGCGCGTACTTTATAGCTGGCAACGCACCTACAATCCTTATACCAAATACCTCAGACACTTTAATGTCTATCGTCACTTTGATAATACATGTACTTCGTAGCCGACAATACAGACACAACACTTGTACCAAATACTGTCGGCAATTTAATACTGCTTGTACCGTAGTCTACTGGCATTTGTGAGATGTCGCTAACAGTGCTTGTACTACAGGCACACATCGGGTGGCACTGCAACATTTAAATAAGAAGTACACAAACAAACCAACAACACAATATACGTTAACCATACATGCATGACATTCTAATTGGAAGTACAAAAACAACCCAACAACACAATATACGTTAACCATACATGCATGTACACTATCAGCCTATACGTTAACCATGCATGTATGTACACTATCAGCCTTTACGTTAACCATGCATGCATGTACACTATCAGCCGTTGTGATCAAGCATAAAGTGCCACAGCATCTATCGCATTTCACCAGCACTTCCAATGAGATTAAGTTGACAAATAATGTCACGTACGCAGTCCTTCATGCTCTGTCTATCCCTCGTACATGTGTTATTGCATAACTATAAAACAATTACATGCATATATACACATATACATATATAGAGCCCAAAACATCATATATGTGCATTCCACACAGAGGTGTGCATGCATTTTTTTCGTCCAAGCCACATGCACCATGAGATGTACATGGAAAGGTCCTCGTCGCCAATGTCTGAGCTGGCAACCCCTTCGTTCTCCCCCACAGATCATACACTTCATACACTAGCCTTATTGACACACACATACCAAATCAAAAACACCATATGTGCACCCCACACGATACATCTGTATATTCTGTTTCTAAGGTACACATACCATGAGATGTACATGGAAAGGTCTTCTTCGTCATTGTCTGAACTGGCAAACCCGTCGCTCTCAGAGTCTTCGTTGGGGAAGTCGTGTTTCAGCGCGTGTGCAAGCGAGGCGCGCAGCAAAGGCCCTGCAGTCGACCGGTCCGAGTCCTGATTGGTGGATTGTTAAAAAAATTATCGATAAGCGAATTCTGATTGGTTTTCAGCTTAAATTATACAATACACGATTCTGATTGACTGCACAAACTACACAGTCAACTTCCGGTTGGTGCAGGTTTATCAGAATTGAACCACATTGCAAATTGTTAATATGTGGATATTGCGTTTGAAGTAGTGATCACAATGTGGTTGGCGCAAGGCGTCTATTGCGTATCGGCGTAGTACTAACTTACAGCGAATAAGCGCATGGGCACCTACCTATAGCGTGCGAGCGCCTGAATATGTCGAATACTAAAACTTTTATTCAGGAGATGTGAGCAAATGATAGATCAATCGGTTATGCACTCATGTAAGTGTATGGTTAGCTTTTCTGGGATCAATCCTTTCGCTGAATTTGAGCTATTAATAGTTTGGATTGTCCACATTTGATTGGACGGTTTTTATCGCTAGGGTTCTTTGGTCAATAATGCGATCGATCTGACTGGATGTCGAGTCTGAATCAGTGCGGCTGAAGTAATCGCTAGTTGTCATCTATAAACAGAACCATCGGAAGTACTCGCATCCCATTGGATGGTTTTTTTAAAAGTGATCAGTAAAATCTCTCACCTGATTGGATGCTGAGTCTGAACCTGAGCGGCTGTCTGAGTGAGCACGACTCCTACGCCACGCCTTACGTATATTCATCTTCGGTTCCTCACTGATGCGCATTAACAGAAGTGGGTGCAATTGTAAGATATTGTGAGCGATGGGAGAAGAGGTTCAATCAGATGAGATCCATCAGCGCAACGATTGTAAGTTGTCGTTGTAGGTAGGACATATAAGAGGAACAAGTAATACACTGTAAGATGGTGCAATAGATTGGAAACAAACTTAACAACATTTGGTTCAACTGTACAGATGTTATGTTGCACTAAATTTGGGCATATGTCGCTTTTCGGTCCATCGAATCACTGAAGTACAATAATAAAAGCCGTTTCTTTTATCAGATGGTACATACAACGGCAAACCCGAATCGAAGAAACTAGATATAATGTTACTAAAATACACACGACAGGCAAAGACAAAGCTTGCTAGTGGCCAGCGTAATTTTCAGGATTGGATCTGTTTCCAGTAATTATGTCTTCAATAGAGTTCACAGCAATGAATGGCTGTCTGTTGATAGAATGTAAGAACAAATAGCGGTCACGAGACCTAAAACTCGTGCTGCAGTCCTCCAATACAAAGATATATTGGCAGTGCAACAGTGACAGGGTCGTCTGTATTGTTCTGCGGAAGTCAATATCGGGACAAACAAAGTGAGATCCGATCCATTATCAGGTATAGCTATGGATATGTAACCCAACAATGACGGGTAATGTGATGATAATATGATGTGTTAATCCGGCGACACGGATACAGAGACACGTTTTCTCATTTGTCTTTTCAAATTTTTTTTCATTTTATCATTCTACTAAAATATTTTAATAAAATATCATACCACGGCATAAGGAGGCGCTTGAAGAGTGACTCAGTGTGATAGCACAGCAGACCCACGAGTGGTTCTATTGTTTGTTTTTAAATATGAAAAAGATAGCGAACAATTACAAACCTCGATTCCTTGACCTCGAGGATTCAAAAGATAGAAATTCAACTCTATTATGATGCAAGGTATGCTTCTTCACGATCTGTTCATATAAGGTATGCTTCTTCATGGTCTGCTCATATAGGGTATGCTTCTTCATGGTCGGTTCATATACAAAGGGACCCTATCTCAATGCTAACCTCGCACAACCAGAGCGGATAGTTAGCTGTGATTGTTCGTATGTCAGGTATAGAACCTCAGAATGAGTGGGGCGACTCAGTCGAACAAACGCAATGGAACTCTCACCGGATGCACGACTTGTCTCCGGCCTTATCTCAAACCCATAGTGTGCATGCAATTTGGTTCAGGTATTCCAATCCCGATACTAAAAGGTCTCCAATTTTAACACTTACCTCGCCACAATGGCAGTGCAACAATCTCGTCCTCACTTCTCAAAGGTACTTACCGTGGGTTGGTACGCGGTAAGCTGAAGAAGCAGTACTGGCTCATTTCGCCAACAGAATTGGCACTTATCAGCGCACCGGTTCGCGAAACAAATTTGGGATCATTCGGGAACTTTCTCTTAGTTTTCAGGACTGTTTTTTTTGTTTTGTTTTTTGGTGTGGGGGAGGGGGGGTCGGAGGAATAAATGCCGGAAAGAACATTAACATCATCGCCTTGTCTGAGGCAACATAACATAATTAAGCCAAGAGCCAAACGACCAAAGAGAAGTGATACACGCCACTGACAAGTCACATGAGTGATACACGCCACTGTTAAGTCACATGAAACAGATTGAAGGCTTGCTTGCATTGAGGTACATTCTCACCCTGCTGCCGTATCTTGGGTGCGGAAACTAGGGCTTCTAAGTACTTCTGTGTTTCGCCTTATGAGATTCTTCACGATGGCTCCTTCGCAGACTATACCATCATTTGAATGTTGCTGATTGTACTATACCATCATTTGTATGGGTGCTATTTGTACTATACCATCATTTGAATGAGTGCTATTTGTACTATACCATCATTTGAATGAGTGCTATTTGTACTATACCATCATTTGAATGGGTGCTATTTCTACTATACCATCATTTGAATGGGTAATATTTGCACTATACCATCATTTGAATGGGTGCTATTTGTACTATACCATCGTTTGAATGGGTGCTATTTGTACTTTACCATCATTTGAATGGGTGCTATTTGTACTATAATATCATTTGAATGGGTGCTATTTCTACTATACCATCATTTGAATGGGTGCTATTTGTACTATACCATCATCTGAATGGGTGCTATTTGTACTATACCATCATTTGAATGGGTGCTGTTTGTATCTGAGACCTTTCTAATCAGTGTAGAACGTCTGAGGAAATGCAGCCCCTGAGATATAGATACTAATTTTGGCTCCTAACCATCCTGATTCAACATTGCTATGTTTGTTTAAAGGCACACCAACCGAACAAGTGTTTGCTACTCGAGCGAGCCAGACGGCACAGTAGAACTGGCGCAAATAGTGCTGTCATAAACGTGGAATTGACACAAATAATTTGTATATAAAACAAGCAAGAGAGAGAGAGAGAGAGAGA